CGCATTCCCTGGATCCCATGTACAACACACTGCCCTGTCTCTTATACACATCTAGATGTGTATAAGAGACAGGAGGAGTGGCAATGCTCCGGGGGGGGGGGGGGGGGGGGCAGTCGACATGATGGTGGACAATGCACCACACCCGATGCCAGGTTTCCTGCCCGCTGGATGACTAGGGGAGCCCGTGTTCCAGAGCCTGTTGGAGGCTCGGGCTAGTCCAACATTTCGAAAAAATCAAGATATGCCCGATGCATAGTGACACTTTAGTTGCGCATGGAGCCATTCCATGATTCCATCAGGGCCTTCACCCTGTCCCCTATCTCCTGTTGTGTTTCCGACGAGGGGTCCATCCTGATCACTTTTGGTGGCGGCGTGGATGTTTCTTTTGTCCGATGTTCCGGCCCTTCCACCTCCATTGGCTTTGGCCCTCTGGCCAAAGGCCTGCTGGAAGGGGTCCTCTATTTGGTGGAGCCTAAATGCGTAGTGTGCGGACTTTTTCCTCTAGGCCTTGTGTCACGTGGCTTGTTCCTGACCCAACCCTTTCTGATGCCCTTGGCTCTTTCACTTCCCTTGTGTGAGAGGGTTGGACATCCCTTTCCTCCACCTGTCCTGCTACCATCACACTCTCTTTTTACCACTGTGAAGGACCGGCTCTTAACCCTTATGGAATATCGTTGGCAAGGAACACGGATAAGGGGCAAGCTTCGCCTGGTGACTACTGAAGGAGGAATGGATGCAAGTTTTTTCGCTTTGGCTAGAGCTCGAACAGGGAGAACGGTAATTCAAGCTCTTGCGCACCCTCATCGTCAAAATGAACAACTAGCAACATCCACACCTGAGTGTTCCAAAATTGCAAGAGATTTCTTTAAATCCCTCTTCCTCTCTGACACGGAATCAATTCCAATAAATCAACGAAATAAAGATATTGATAACTTCCTCATACCTTTGAAAAAATCTCTAACTGAGTCGCAAAGGAATATGTTTAAAAGTGCATTGACAAAATAAGAGATTTGGACAGCTTTGATGCCCATGGACGAAGAAAAAACTTCAGGTATAGATGAACTTCCTAAGGAGTTCTGGGAATCCCTGTGGGAATTTATTGCCCAAGACCTAATGGATTTTTACCAGGATGTCTTAGTTAAACTTTCACGCCAATCTAAACATAATGTTGCTTTCATCTTTATCGATTTTGAGATAGCTTATGATCATGTTGATTGACTCTTCCTGGATAAATGTCTTGAGAAGTTCAACTTCGGACCAAATTTCAGAAGGTGGGTTAAAATCTTACACGAGAATGCATCTACAAGAGTTGTGGTTAATGGTAATGTAACCCTACCCATAATATTACAAAGGCCAGTTAGGCAAGGCGATCCCATTGCCCCGCTCCTCTTTGTAATCATTATGGAAGCCTTGGCAGCCAATATACGTCATCACAAAGATATCAAGCGCATCCAAAACACATCTATACCAGAGGATGCTATTCCAGTATGCTCTCTCTTTGCTGATGATCTTTCTCTTATGGTGGATGCCTCACATGAGAATCTTGAGGCAATTCAACGTATTATGGATGAATTCTGCAAACTCTCTGACATGAAGGTAAACTGGGGGAGTAAAACCATAGGTTGGTGGATTCACTACTAGGGAGTTAGGCCTCCAGAACTTCCAATGATCAAGTGGCTCCCTATTGATTCCCCGGTGAGGGTACTTGGGATTTCTCTCTCAGCCATGGGCAAAACAGCATCCAATAATGAAGGTATCCTGAAATATGCAATATCTAAACTGGAATTATGGAAAGACAAACATACCTCGTTGATAGGAAGAACACTTGCCATTAACAATGTGGTTGTGGCTTCTATTTGGTACAAATCGACGCTCTGGGCTCTTGATAAGGTCTTTATCAGAATCCTACAGGGGCAGTTGGCAGCTTTTCTTTGGCGAGGTAATCATGAATCAAAATATGTTATTAGCAGAGTAGCATGACAATAAATAATTCAACCCAAATCAAAGGGAGGATTGGACATAATTGACCCCACCACTCAAGTGAAAGCGCTTTCAATCCAATGGATTAAGTGTCTTCTTTTCAACCCCCAAACACCATGGAGTATCCTAGCTATTGAATAGATCAGGCGCCTGGCCCCACCTACTCCCGAAGAGGTTGACCCGCTTATGTGGTTGGAGAATCGCGCGTGGCCTCTCCCCAGATCATCCCCATCAGTCTCCCCAGATATAGTACTTTCTGATCGCCAGACAGTTAGGGGGGATCTTTCCAGGGATCCTTTCTGGATTGACCTACTAAAAACTTGGAGAAAACTCCCCATTCTAGATAAAGTAACGCCGGAAAGATGGAAAGAAGTTTGCCAACAACCCTTATTCAATAATACTCTAATCAGAGATGCACATGGTTGCACCCTTCCCTGCACAGATTCCCCTTGGAAGGGTTGGATTTCAAGAGGAGTCACAAGGATTAGAGATATCTGGAATAAGGAGACYAATGATTGGATTGATTTACCGAATATCAATGTCAGATTAAAACACTGTCATCATCAGAAGGAAGCTTTGGAACAAATAATAGATATTATTCCTCTTGATTGGGTTAGGATCCTGAAGAAAGGTTCTACTCTCATGCCAAACGATTGGATATCCATACATGATCAACCAGAGATAGTAGGAAAGATCAATGAAGTCAATGTTTCTGGCGATGTATTAATGACAGTTTTTGACTTGAGTGATGACGGATTCCTCAGGAACACTTCACAACAAATTTTGAGTCTAATCCAATCATTCCGCTTATTTAGGATTAGAGTTCTAACGAAGGATAGGCTGCTGGCTTACAAACCAGACACTCATATTTCCCATCTCCCCATTGACCCTGTAAGTTGGTCCTGGTCTTCTTTTGCATATGCAGGACGCTCACATACCCAAACTCTTCATACGCTGACGGTAAAATTCACGTACAGAATGTTGCGCCCTAGGATTAATTTAAAGGATATAATTCAAGAGAGATGGATGAGACACTTGAATATAAGCAAAGAAGATCTCCAGTCAGTTAAATGGTTCCATTCAACCAAATCCAAACCAGCGAAAGTTGCATCACTACAATGGCAGATCACTCACCGATGCTTGCCAACCAATGACTGGATTATTGATAGAACGGCACTGGAGAAAAGGGGTATAGCCCTTCCCTCAAATTCTGCAGATTTGCCTTTCCATCCAAATTGATCCCGGAAACCATAGAGCATATATTTCTACAGTGCCCAGGTGCGGTATGGATCTGGCGCTGGTGGGATAGGATTTGGGATCAGATTGGAACCTCCCTGCCATGGCCATGGAATTGGAAAGCCCTCCTTCTGGAAACCTGGGTCCCATCCAACGATGATAACTTCACAACCAATCTATTCGCGATTGGAAGAAGAGTTATCATATGGGCCATATGAACGTGTAGGTGTACGTTTGAAATGGAGGGTGCACGGCTCGATGGCTCTGAGTTCACAGACTCCATTAAACAGCAAGTCCAATTAGAAATCAACTTCAGATGGGATTTTGTCAAAGAAAAGATTGAAACTCTAAAAACAGAAAAGGATATCGAACAGCACATAAAAACATTTAATCAAAACTGGCTTGGAGGGGACCAAGGAGGTAAAATAGGACATGTTAAATGGAATGGAGGGTGTGAGATTGCTCAGAATGAGCCCCCAAGAAAGTATATCTTACACTTTAATGACTGGACCAACATCGATCCCTCCATCCCCCTAAGGCCCTTTTCCGAATTCCCTGATCCTTTCCCTCCATCCAAGCTTGCCTTAGTTCTTATTTCATAGTATGGACATGCTTGACAGTAGTAGTCTCTGTATTTTGTCTACCTGTCTGCGGGGAAGGTTTTTGGCAGCTAGACACAAATTGCAGTTTCAAAAAATCGGTATCTCAGCAAGCATCAATATTAGTCCCAGACAAACCGCTGGGCCTATTTTTCAAGGGGGAAAATCTCTGATAACAGGAGGATTAGAGGTGCTAAATGGTCACGATTTTTTGGCGCCCTTTCAAGGTGAAGAGGTACAAGGATGCTCTGATCGTTTCAGAAGGGACGCTGGGCCCGGTTCCCAGCATGTGTAGTTCGGTGTCTCTTCAAGTGATGTAAAGGGACGTTGGACCCGTTTTCCAGCAGGTGCAGCTCCCCACCAATGGAACGGAGCCATCGCGTGAGCAGGGAGATTAGAGGGGGTGTCTGCTCTTATCAGCATCCCCTCTTTTCCCCAGCAAGGATGTTAAAAAAAA